TGTAAACGTTAAGCACCGATCTCCCTTACGCTCTACCTATAAGATCCTACAGGCCGTTGAACTTTCAATACGGATAAAAACATCATTAAGGGGTGACTTTGTGAATTTTTCATTTTACCAGGTTGATAAATGAGTATTACCTGATTTATTTATTTTTTCTTCCTGGTTGTTTTGTTCTTCTCTTCCTTCAGGCTATGTACATTTCGGAATNAAAAATCAAGTAATCAGTGATCGGTCGCGCCTCGGGCAGTCTTTTTAGTCTATGCGTAATTTTTAATTTTTATTTTCCGGTTTTTTAACTTTTAAGTGTTTTAACATCATAAGTTTATCGAATATAGAACGCGCACTATAGTGCTAGTAAAGTGGTGAAGTGGCCTGAAGATGGAATAGGTATATTCCGAAATGTACATAGCCTGAAGGAAGAGAAGAACAAAACAACCAGGAAGAAAAAATAAATAAATCAGGTAATAATCATTAAGGGGCTTGGAGGACGAGGTGAATACCGGCAGTTTTTGCTATTTCGAGAAATAAATGTTTAAATTCCGAAATTACACGGATATTCATGGCGGAAAGAAAGTTCAAACTGACTTTTTGATGCTTTAACATTGGAAATTGAGAGGGAATTATTTTTCACAGAATTTTGTCAAAAACGGCACTTATGCGACTTTTTTTCTAAGCCCCTCAATTTTGGTAAAGTTATTTTATGAGTTGCTTCCGCAGAGACGTAAATATAAAAAATGGCACTATGCAGCTGTGACTATTCGATTATCATTATTCATTGACTTTCTTGACTCAATTTACAAATTAGATCCTTCAAAAATTCAACAATTTTCTGGAGAGAGTCCCCTCCCCCTCTCGCTAGCAGTGTCTGGCTCCACGTAAGTGAAGGAGAGAGAGTGTGGAGTTCTAGTTTACGCCCCGATTATTGAATGTACATCGATACGACAAGACCAGGCATAGCCTAATCTATACAATACATCGCATTTCGATGTCTTAACGTACTGTTTAAAATTTCAATTATCAGCTCACTTATACACACTAAAGCCAGTACTTTACATAAACGATAAAAAAAGTGCATAATACAACATTTGCTGGTGTTACACTTTAGTATGTTCTTCTTTTATTTCAAGAGGAGCTTTACACTACGATTCGACATGAAAAAATGTACTGATACTAATTTTAAAAATAGTTCAATCAGAGGCAGAGGAAGATGGAGGAGAGGAAGAATACATGCCCCGGTAAAAATTGGCAGTAGAATCTGTGTTCCAAAATACCATTGACCTACAGCCGACTGTAAGATTTCCAAAACCTTCTATAGCCGGCAACACAATTTCTTTTATAGCCGATGGCCACTAAGCAACAGCCTGGCGATAAAGTGTATGCTAAACGTTACTAATTACGAATGCTAGGACTTAGTGAGTTTTTGGACTACCGCTCTCTTTTTGGGCCGCAGCATCTTGATTTAATTAGCGAGGAAAGCTCCGTACTTTTGAAGGATGCCTGCCATTCCTAATATGTTGGAGCGCCTTCAATTTCGTATGATACTGTGCAATACCTCTGGTGTGAAATAGTTGCTTCAAGCGCCGCGGCGGGCGGGAAGCCAGCGCTGAACGCGAATTGGCGCCTACAAACCTAACAGGGATACTTCACGCATTGCGCAATGCGTGAAGTATCCCTGTTAGGTTTGTAGGCGCCAGTGCGTCGCCGCTCCGCTTTATGTTAGGCTCTAATATTTGATCTCGCGGAGTCAGCGTTTTTGAACTCATGACTTTGAAATGTTTGCACACTCTGTATGGATTATTCTTATTTTAATTGATGAAAAAAATATGTAGTAAAGGAAAATATAATGTGCGTTTTGTAAATAAGGTGATTCCGTACAAACTTAAGGATTTACAAAGCACAATAATTTCTACACAATTTCTTATAGCCTTTTATAGCTGATGGCGAAAAAGCAACAGTCAGGCGATAAAGTGTAAAGCCCGGCGATAGGAACTATAGCCCGGCTGTATAATTTTTTATCGCTTCGTGTAGCCCGGCCGTACGATGTTTTCCACTTTCTACAGCCAGCTATATGATTTTCTATCGCCCTCTTCCGTCGGCTATAAAAACTCCTATGGTATTTTGAAACGCAGCTCCTATTGCCAATTTTTACCAGGGTGAGTGGAGGAGAGGAAGGGAAGAGGAGGAAGAAAAAGGAGAGGAAGGAGAGATGATAAATCAATATTCTAGAGCATCCGTTAGCGTTGAAAGATCTCAGAAAATATAGTTCCTCTTGTATACGGACTAGACTTTTAGAAAAGCTAGCCAGCCTCAATAGCCAGATATGAGGGGAAGCTCTTGTGAGGGAACAATTATTCGAAAACGGCACAAGAGAGGATGACTAACCTTCCTCTTGATAATCTACCTTCGGAAAAGGAAGGAAAGAACAGGAATTCAAACTTTCCGAGGTGCCTTGCCTCCTTTCCTCGCGATCAGAGCTCGCCTTTTCGAACGAGGCTCAATTACTATTCATGAGCCCGTCTGCTGTTTTGCATTAGAACGCAGCAGGTGCTGGTGCACTTCAGCGTTCAATTAGCCGCTAATTAAAATTATTCACGTCTGATGAATTTCCTTAATTTTTAAGGCGCCCTCCTCTTAAATAAGGGAGAGATATTCATCCGAAGAGAATCCCAACCTCTCATTACGTAGGTACGTTTAAAGAGGTAATAGCGGCGCTGCTTTACACGAGTTCCGAAGCAAAAAGTTACACGAACGATATCGATGACCACAGTGCAAAACCACATATCGACGGTGTAAGTCGGCAATCACATAACTCGGTTTGCGACGTCGTCGGAGACCTCCTATCATACTTCATTTATTAAACGGAAAACTACTCGACGGCAATTCCTTAAAACTGCCGTGATTTTTCCTCTCTGTGCGAAGAAAATTCTGCAAAAACTTCAAGGAATGATATCAATTTGTTCTCCTTTAAAAAAATAAAATAGAGGCGGAGATTTTCAGACACCGCAAACGAGTTATGTGATGGCCGACTTACACCGTCGATATCTTCGTTTGCAAGGTTGCCACAGAATTTAGAAGATGAAATTCCCTGACATTCCCTGATTTCCCAGACAATTATAGATGTGACGGATGGTTAAGAAGGCATAACTGACAATAGTTTTCAGACAAAATTTGGTGTTCGAAACCTGGACCCATTCTAGAAAGGAAATGAAGGTATGCTTTAACCAATATTTCCTGACATTTTCGTCGTTTTCCCTGACAACCTTGTTTGCTACGTTGCAGGCTTCCTAATATGCTGTTTTTTAAATGGGAGAGTAGCTTTATTTCTTGAAAATTTCCTTATTTTTTCCTCTCTGTTAGCAGAATGTTCTATATGAATTTCAGACTATATTGCTTAGAATAATATTGGAGCGGAAATTTTGAAACTTTGCAATGGAGATATGTGGGTCAAATTTTCGCCTTCGACATGGATCATATCGTAAAAAATACAACTAACGTTGAACGATAAAAACGCGTACTTTGTTTCGGGCGAATCAAAATATACGCTCATATTAATTTATTTTTTAGGGAGAACGAAACATTACATTGTGGCTCGACATTTTCTTAGAATATTCTATACACAGAAAAAAAAAATCAGAGAATGTTTTTAAGATATTGCGTGTCAGGATATTAAAAAAAAAGATTCACTTTAATTAGTAATGCCGATTCGTAGGCGTGGGACTGGCACAGAGGACTCGGGTTAGGTTAGATTGGGTCACGCAACTAGATAAACTTTGCGGCAATGCGAGAGGTGTCACACGAAAATAAAGGCGCGTCAAAATCGCGTATATTCCTTCTGCAGCTGCAATTAATGGAGCGTTTCAAGTTACTCTCATTTTCTCTTTGGTACACTGTGCATAAGCACGAGCAGTAAATCGATGGCTGTCGACGTTGCAAATCAGCTTTGGAGTCATCTACCTGCAATTCGCGAAGACACAGCTTCGGCTCATGCCGGTCGGAAGATTTCCTTCAACTTTCCATCAATTAGCGGCGCCAATTGGATGGAAAGTTGAACGAAAAGTTGCATGTGACGTCACATTCAAGTTTCCGTTCAATTTTTCATCAAATTGCCGTTTTTTCTCGTCAGTATCAGACTATCCAACTTTTTCATGGACAAGTTGCATCCAAGAAGTGGATCACATTCAAGTTTCCGATTAATTTTCATCAAATTGTCGTTTTTTTCTCGTCGGTATCACACTGTCCAACTTTTTCATGGATCACTGGTAAAAAAAAACCTCTTGGTTCAAGAGTGCAGTTTCTTGTCGCCGGATTAAAGAGTCTGGACTTTTGTTTCAAGCGGATTTTGAATTGAATCAATGCAAAATCCGCTTGAAACAAGAGTTCAAGACTCTTAAATCTGGCGACAAGAAACTGTACTCTTAAGTCAATGCACCGCGGCATTGGTCCAAGAGGTTTTTTTTTCCAGTGCGAGTTGCATCCATGAGTTGGATCGCATTTAAGTTTCCGTTCAATTTTTCATCAAATTGTCGTTTTCTCTCGTCAGTGTCACACTATTTATCCAACTTTTCATTTGACAAGTTGCATCCAAGAAGTGGATCACATTCAAGTTTCCGTTTGATTTTTCATCAAATTGTAGTTTTCGCTCGTCAGTGTCACACTATCCGACTTTCCATTGGACAAGTTGCATCCAAGAGTTGGATGGTAAGTTTGATGGTGTGAATTGGACGTAATTCTATCAAACGGACCTAAGCGCCATAGGGTGAGGAAGGTAGAGGGGGGGCTTGGATTGGCGGCGAAATCGGGCGTCCGGCTGATTCCGTCCTATACTTGCAATGTTTTTCCATGGCGCTTAGGTCCGTTTGACAGAACGCGCTATCCGGCATTCTAAATTCCTAAAAGGAACTCAAATTGGCGCTAAGTTCCGTTTGATAGGAATACGTCCAATTGGGTTTAAGACAAGACCTGAAAGAATATGACTGGGATGGGATGCGTGTACTAACCTGGCTGGCGGTGATGCCGCTGGTGCACTGGGGGGTGGGGAGGGAGCGCTTGCGGATGTCCCGGTAGGGGGAGAGGAGGAAGGGGTCGTGCTGGGCGGGGTAGGGCGGGGAGGAGGGGCGGGAGTCGCCGGAGCCCTCCTGCCGCTCGTCGAAGGCGTAGGCGTCCTCGGCGCTCGACTCCTCGACGACGATGAGCGGCTCGCCCGACTGCTGCGACGACAGCGACGACATCGGCGAGTACGACGACCGACGCATCAGGTTGCTCACGCCCGCCCCGCCAGAGCAGCCCGCCGCCGTCGCCCCCGCGCCCGCTTCTGAAACACAAACACATCAACACATAAACATAAACACATCAAAACATAAACATAAACACATCAACACATAAACATAAACAAATCAACCTCAAAAATCGAATCAAACCTCATTTCATTACCAGACACAGAGAGAAAGAAAAAGGCCGAAACCCCCGGGTCCTGGGGCCGTAGCTTAAGCTTCACGGAGAGAAATAGAACCGCGCTGAGCACTAACTAGACTACGCTAAATGGAAACGAGAGGAAGGATCAGTGGCGTGGCGTGAATGATCGATTATCGATATTTCCCCATTTGAATCCAAGGTAAAGAATCGATTATGAAGGTGTTCGCCGAACACCCTGTTAATCGATCTTTTCTCATAGGTTTAAATGACAGATCAATCGCTGTATCGCAAAGCACGCCACGCCACTGGGAAGGATAGCACTCCTGAGTAAGATAAAAATGTGAGTATGACACTACTTGAAGGGCAAAACACAAATAACGTCATGATCTGAGTTGAAACACTTTTTATTTACTCGTTTGGAGTTGACTTCCGAACTTTCCGTTGTGTGACTACTATCTACCTAAGATTTTAGAGAAAACAAGTGAAATATTTTTCTAGCTCGGATCTAGTCTAATGACCCAGTACTGTTGGTCATCGGTTACTATTAGGCTGATCTGAGCGCACAGTTGTGCCCAAAACTTTTGCACACTCAGGAAGATATCAGTGTGGGTCCTCTCAAATCAACTGTCTCTATGCCCTTAGCAGCCTTAATGATCCATCAGACAGGGTACATATTAAACTTCACGCACCGAAAATTCCTGAAATTAACTCCTCACCAGATTAGTTGATGTCGGTTGAGCATAGACTACAGAGGAGAATTTCATGAGCTGCCGCGCCGCTCACCCGCGGCGCACTATGGTCCAAAACTCAAGAATCACGAAGACAAAAACAAAAGATCACGAAAGTTTCGTATAAGATGTTTTTGGAGTCGCTAATTTCAAATTTGATATTGAATTGCCTACAAAGTGTATGGCACGCTACGGCGCGACGCGCTGCCAGCTCAAAACATGCACTGACGCCTACAGATCTAAGGGGATACTTCAAGCATTGCGCAATGCGTGAAGTAGCCCGTTAGGTTTGTAGGCGTCAGTGCGCGTTTCGCGGTAGCAGCTCGGCGCGGCGGGCGGATGGTGACCGATTTCAGGCGGGAAGAGCTTCTTGGCGGAGAAACTCGTGTATCGTGTAAATTTTTTTTTTCTTTTTTTTTTTTTTTAATTTTCGACGTTCAAAATTACAAACTGGTCGTGTGAAGTAATTAGTGAACTTTCAACGCTAGAGGAAGTGTAATAATGAAAGGCGGGTCGTGCGCCATGCGCGCTGCAGTCGACGCAGGGCGACTCATGAAATTCTCCCCTGTGCTCTGTCAAGTTGATGTTTCTTGACGCGTGAATTCAAACCTCCCACTCATCAAAACCCGAAGGTCTACGTTAGCAAATCCCTCACTACACGTTGCGGTAAAAATCCCCGCGGCATGCAAATATGACAAATCTGGAATCTTCGACTTAGTTGTCGCACGATGTTTACATTTTAAAAATACACGGTGAAGAAAGATCACTGCTTCATTGAGACGCCTGCCAAAACCGTCGCAAAGCGCGATTTGACTCCGGTAGTGTATTGCATTTCTTGTGATCGGGCAATACTTTCCCGTAGCCAATGTAAAATAAAAACGTTAAGGTGATTTGATGGACTTCATATTGTGTCAAAACGACATGCGACACATCGCATCGACTGGCTCCATTTTTTTAGCTACACGTTATTTTTCTCGAATTTTGAGGTCGCAATTCTGTTCTTAGGCGACTTACCAAATTCACTTACCAATTTTGACAAACAAATTCAACTTAATATATGCGTGGTATTTTTAGAGGGAAAAGACCGCATTCGAGTGCAGTTTCGATATCAGTGTCGAACTGACGTGTCACGTGTATCACTGACGCCTACAAACCTAAAGGGCTACTTCACACATTGCGCAATGCTTGAAGTATCCCCTTAGGTTTGTAGGCGTCAGTGCAAGTTTTGAGCTGGCAGCTCGTCGCGCGTCGCGCCGCAACGAGCGTGCCATAAACTTTGAAGGCAATTCAATATCAACATTGGTTATTTAGTCTCCTAATGACAGAATTGCGATCTCTAAATTCGAAAGAAATCAAAGCTGAAATTACGGAACGAATTGATGCGATATATCGCACGTCGTTCTGACACAAAATATAGCATCCATCGAATCACCTTAACATCTTGGTGAGGAGAAAATTTCAATAAATTTCAATGCAAGAATCATGTTCTACGTGAGTTTTCGATTTTAAACACGTATCAGAAAGCCAAAATTCGTAGCTTGTCCAGTGGTCCTTCAGGGCCACAGTCCAAACTCTCCTCCTAAAAGTACCCTGGCCCTCCCAAGCAAACCCGAAGGAGCAACTTTTGAAGATATCCAGCCCTCGAGCAAAGAACGAGATGGTCTCGACGATTTGACATTATCTCGGAGCGACACAGACAGAAAATAATAGACTTGTCACTGTCATTATTTTATATGAGGGAGCATTAGGGGAGGGGCGGAGCGCGAGGCTAAACTTGTTACATCCGTCGATTGTGACAGGCTCCTGTCTTCTCGGTGGCCCGGAGGGGAGGGCGGCTCGAAAATAATTAGATGTCCGATCATCGGAGGCAGATTGATAGATAAAATAAACCGAGGCTCGTGTTTTCCCGCGAGGTAAGTTTGCCGAGCCATCTGACGCCGAGGTGCCCGCTCGTCCCCCGGTGGGCCCCGTCAGGAGAGTGATTTGCGGGGATTAGCGTGATGCAGTGAGCAATATTGCCACCGGCGGTCGGAAATAAAATCCATCGCTCGCCTTCGAGATTGCTCATAGGGACCAACGGAAGAGGGTCCTCCAGCCAAATAAAACTGCTCAACACGTCAGGTCAGGACCTCCAATGGAGAATTCGCACACGAAAATTGTATTGCTTCATCGGGCAGTGCTTAACGAGATGATTTCGCATTCGCAGTACATTTCTATTTTTTTTAAAAATATGGATGTGCCCGCTCTCTTCAGATTTTAGAAGTATAACCCAGGTTTTTTTCGACTCGGGAGACTTCAGGAGGAGACTTTCTGCAGGAGACCCGAGAACTTATTGAAACTTCCAAACTGATGGCTTCCAGTTTCTTTTCTACACAAACCGATTTGCGGTGAACGCACGAGTCGTAAGACGGGATGTTGGAGTTTTTTTAGCCAACGTGCGTAAAAAAATTCAGCTTAAAGCTGAAATCTGTGCTTGTGTGTGAGCGTTTTCCCTCTCTAGTGAGATTTCCGCTTTAAGCTGAATTTTTTTACGCACGTTGGCTAAAAAAACTCCAACATCCCAGTTTCTTTTCTACAGGTATTTTCTTATTTTTTGCGATTATCGACATGTGATGGCCCCTAAATGAGCCCACTCTCTTCAGATTTTGGACGGGAGACTCGATAACATACTGAAATTTCCGAACTGGACTCCAGTTTCATTTTCTACCTCAGTAGATGGCAACAACGGCCAGGATGCAACACGATGTAATTATTTCTCGCATGCGCTGGGCGATATTTTGTCAGCGGCGAGTAATGTCACAGCGGAATTACCGGCGGATTTCAAAGCCACGAATTAGTGCGGCCACGTCCAAACTGTGCAGGGAGGAATCGTCGCGTCGTTTATCACCCGCCGAAGCACAGTGGACCGAGTCAATGGAAGAAGTCGGACATGAAATTTTTGACAAAAATTGTAAAATTTTCCGATTATCTCATCACAATTTTAATTTTAAGGGGTGCTTTTTACAGAAAATTGTACGCGGAAACCAATGAAATTTCTTTGAAAACATCAAAATTTCATATTAATGAAGATATACGCTTTCAAAGTTTTTAAATCATGTCAGACATCTACCATTGACTTGATCCACAGTGCGACGCGTTGGCAGTCGCAGTGCAACCAAGACCTGTATTTCGACCAACGAAAATACCTACAAAATCTCTGCTGTAAACTTGCGACCAGAGTTTAGTGTTTAAATTCGATATATCGAATTTCGATACTTCAAGACCGTCGTTTATTGCTCTTGAGATTAGCACGTAAAACGCCACAAGACAAAGTTATAAGAGGGGCTTGGAGGACAAGGCGCATAAGTGCAGTTTTTGAAAAAATTGAGATATTAATAATTTAGACCAGTAAATTAAAAGACCGCAGTAACACTGATCTTAATGCACAGTATGTGAAAAATTCGCTCTCAAATTCCTATTTTTAAGCATCAAAAAGTGAGTTAAAACTTTCTCTCTGCTATAAGGATCCATGTAATTTTAAAAATATCTCAAAATGACGCAAAAGTTGAACGGGTTCGTGTAAGATATAGTAGCGGCTCCCATTCTCGTTGTTGGAGATCTCTATAGGCTTGACGGGGTCGCTACCGCTCCTAGTAATTTCAAACACATATCACTCGAAATAGCAAAAACTACTTTTATGCGCCTTGTCCTCCAAGCCCCTTATAGGAGCTCGAAGTGCATTCGTATTCGTTACCCACCAATTTTGATAAAATTTCCCAGAACAACAAAGTTCAAAATCAGGTGCTTGAGGAAAATACTGGCGCATCGGTTATACATCCTAGTTTCCGACGAATCACAATTTGGTTCGCGGAATTCTTGCTTTATTTACATTACTATACTTCTTATCACTGCTTTATTTGTGTTATCTATCTGTAACATCACGCAACAGAGGAGTGATTTCAGGCTACATTTACTTCCCTCAGGGCCCGTTATCTCATCGTGTTTTAAAGTTATGCCATTCCTGAACTATACGATGTCACGAATTTCTAGCAAGCATTGAAAGTACCCTCTTTATTCCTGTTTCGCAATAATGGCGTTGCGAATCATCAGTGACATGATCTTACAACTTCGTTTTAAAGCCTTTTCGAAAAAAATTATTCAAAACTTTAAGTTTTAATAAGCAAATTGTCTC